TTTTACATTTAAAGATTTAGATGTGTTGGCCTATCTTGTGGACTTTCATATGTTCATATAAATCTTAGATTTTAGAAATCTTATTTTCTCATACACTCAACCTGTTGGTCTTTGGATGTTTCTTTGTTTTTTACTAACAAAGGATGGTAGGGATAGGACAGTCCAAGACATATGAGCCACTCTAACTTAACTATTTACCATTCATTTCATAAATAACATTAATTTAACAAATATTTTTTGAGATTCTGTTATTGGGGAGGTGATATGTTAAGTCCTGAGTTACAATCTGAACAAGATAAAATTGTAATTCTCTCTGAATTTCCATCCTAGTGGATAAGAAAAATGCTCAAAATCAGGATGACATGAAAATATATACAGAGTTTCCAAACCTAAGGCAGGAGAAATTAGGGAAAGCTTTCCTAGAAGGATATTTAAGATAAAGACTGAAGAATATGTAGCAGTTGTCCAAAAGAAGAGGAAAGCGTAAGAGTACAATAGCCCAGAAACCTCACAGCACCTCCTGTTACTAGGTAAGAAGCTGCTCTTTGACAGCTGTTCCATTCAAGGCTGCAGAATGAGCTGTCTCCGTAGATACAGGTAAGAAATTCTCTAGCCAGATTAATCCTATTATACTCACATCCATATTTATGTTACCCCTGCCAGAAGTCTGAGCCTTCATAATCTGCCTCAATCCTTTCCCCTCCATCCTGCTCAAATGCTTTCACGGGGCCCTTTGGAAATGCGGGTCTATGATCAGCAAGTTAGCTGGGATGTTAGTGCAGAGTGAAAGGCCACATTGGCATCAGACTGCCTGGATTCAAATCTTGACTGTCATTTACTGGGTGATCTTTAAAAAGGTATAACTGGATAGAGAGTAAATCAGAAAGCTGAAACCTTCAGTAACAGAGATGAGCAGGGCATCACATGAATTTCACATTGGTGTAACCACACAGAGAAGAGAATTCTCCAAATGATTTTAGAAAACAGCTACTTTCAATGAGTATCCTTAATGGATATATATATATATTTTTTTTTGTACTGGGGATCAAACTCTGGTCCTTGCGCTTGCACAGCAGGTGATGAAAACACTGAGCTAAATCCCCGGCCCTGGGCCCTGATGGAATATATTTTGAGGATGAGTAGAACTATGAAGAAATCTTAGTAAATTTCATTCATTAGTTTTATTAGTGTTACTGTTGTATTATGCTTTTTAGATATTAGACTAAAGCAAAAATAATTATGTTAATGTTGCTAAGAGAGAATATTTTCAGTGTGTAAATCCAGATACTAAAAATGTCATTAAATGTTAAATTCAAATTGAAAATATCAGTCTAAACCTATTCCAGTCTCTCAGCTTATTAGATCAGCCTCTCATCTCCTTCAATGTTTCTGTGTGGCTGCTGAAACAAAAGTATCAAAAAGTAAGTAGTTTAAAACAACCAAAATTTATTGTCTCATATTTCTCTTTGATGTTCTCTTTGATGATCTTCTCTTGGGGGGGCACAATTAAATTCATAATGATTTATCCGCTTCCTCAATCTCAACTATTTTTCCTAATTCATTGATATATCTATACCATCAGGCACTGTCTTCTGCTGTCTCAACTGAAAACTTTATGCATGCATGTTTCAGGGAATGAGATGATGTTCTTGTATGGTAGAAAAAAAATCTATGGTTAAAGAACTTAAAATCTTTTTTTTTTTTTGGTACCAGGGATCGAACTCCGGTCCTTGTGCTTTTAAGGCAAGCATCGGAACCACTGAGCTAAATCCCCAGCCCAAGAATTTAAAATCTTATAGGGAGAAAAACTGTTACACATGTCAAGGAAAAACAAGGAAAGCTAAAGAGAGAAAGTATCAATGACCCTCTACAAATCTTACATTAGTTTCCATTTGTATTGCATGCTTGCTAGAAACATGGTTTTTCCTCTTCAGAGATCTAATTAAAAATAGACTCGTGTGTGTGTGTGTGTGTGTGTGTGTGTGTGTGTGTGTGTATAAAATAGCCGAATAAATGATTTTATTCCTGGAAGTTGTCTTGTAATTTTAGATAGATGCAAATTAGAAAAACATTTGAGATGGATCAAGTTTTTCATAACCTTTGACTATGGGGAGCTGTCCCTCTACAATGTACAGGTTTATACACTTTTACTTTCACAATAAAACTAGTGAAGCTCACAGAGTTCTTATATTGGCCCATTGGCTTCTTTCCTACAAAGACTTGGAGTATAGTTGTAGTCTGTGCTAAAAATATAGAAAGGGATAAAAATATAGAAAAATATTAGTATTATTTAGGCTAATAAGGCTTTTCAATAGTTTAAAATCAAGCTAGATGTCATGAAGATAATTTTGATATATTAACGATTTAGAAATTATTGTCTATTACAACAAGCAACTTTAACATGACATTTCCAATAAATGGTAAATTGGGGAAAACGTTTTGGAACATATAAAAGACAAAGGGATGTTTTCCTTACAATGAAGAGTTCAGATAAATCAAGGAAAAAGACAAAATAGCTTCTTCAAAAAACATTTTCCCTTACCTAAAAAAAAGTAGATAAAGAAATGAAAATAACATTCACACTAGAAAGTGAATTGATCATATGAAAATTACTCTATTTTCCCATAATAAAAGAAACATAAATTCACAAGACTATTTTTACTTTTAGGTTGGAACATTAAAAATGAATAAATCCACTGTCATTGAGTAAGTAGGTGGGTAACTAAATACAGACCTACATCATTGGTGAGAGATAATAACAGTCTACATACAAAAATTCTACCAGAAATTCTACTTCTAAGACTTTATCTCAGGAAAGTTATTTTAAAAAGTGAACTAAGATATTTGAGCAAAACTATAGTATAGTTTTTAATAGTGAAAAATTTAATGCAACCTAAATATTATGAGGAACTGATTGAATAGAAGTTGTGGAGTTCATGAAATGTAATTCTAGATAGCCATGAAAAACATTCAAGTGGAAGCAAGCATGGTAGTGCATGGCCTGTAATCCCAGCACTCTGGAGGGTAAAGCAGAAGGAACACATGTTCTAGGCTGGCTAGAGCAACATGGCAAGTTCAAGGCCAGTCTGAGTTATACACAGAGAGAGCCAATCTCAACAAAACAAAACAAACAACCGCAAAACACACACTCAGATATGTATTTATTCATGTGGAAATGTCTACAATTTGTTCATTGCAAATGAGTTTGAAAAGAAATAAAACAATGTGTGTCTATACATAGAAAAACTCATACACTAATATTTTAATAATGGGGGTAGGTTGTGGGTAATAACTGATTATTTATTCATTTCTGCATTATCTAAATCTTTTGCAATGATAACTATAACCAGAAAAAGAAAGATGAAATAGCTGTGAAAGACAGAATGAGAAGAAAGAAGAAAAGAAAAGAGAAGTAGGGTGAGAGGTGAAGGAATATTTTCTTCAAAGTTTACTCTTGCTTCAGCTGCTCTTTTCTCCTTTGAGGCTCCATTTAAAATACTTACCTTTAAGTTTTCTGCATTTCTCTTAAACTGGAGAGGCTTTTAAGCCATGTATATTTAAACCAAAATTTCACAATATAGGAAAAATAATAAATCAATCCGTGACATTGAGTTTTGCCTATGGAGAAATGCAGTTAGATGGGTTTACCAGGCATGAAAAACACGTGTACTAAATAAAGGAAGACCAGAGTATCACTTTGCTGTTTTACTTGAGCAAAATTTTTTCTAATGGGAAGGTTAAGAAAGGCATGGAAGCCTTTCATTTATTCTTCTAGATGCCATAGGTCCTATTATTTCTCTCCTTGCAAGATTGTTGTCTTTCAGTTCAGCTATGCCTTCAGCCAAAAACTGTAGACCTTGCTGATTCATTCAGTCAGTCAGTCATAAATTCAATGAACAAATATTTTTTGAAGCTTATGCTGTGCCAGGCACATTTCTGTATATTTGGTATCTATTAGTGTCCAGCTTTCCTGGAAGTTGTATTCTAACATTTAAGAAACAGCCATATAAAAGCAGCTATTGTTGAAACTATGTGCTACATTATTCAGCATCCCATGGAAACGTTTAAACTAAAAAGTAGAAAAGTGGATAAAGAATTCATATATATGTTACATGTGAATAAAGGAAAATTTGTTTGCTTTGTTTGGAGTACCAGGAAGTTTAATCTATTTTGTGCCTAACTAGAAAAATCGTGTAAGATATTGTGTCCATTGTATTCAGATGCTAGATTTTCATCTTTCTGAAATCCTTATGTTCCTATTTCATCTACATTTTCATTGTCTTACTTTTTAAACACATGAATTGCTTTGTTTCACTAGTAATGCATTTCATTTTAATGTATTTATAAATGCTGCAAATCTCAAAACTCTGTGAAGCTAGAGAAATAAGATTTAAAAAAAAAAGAAATAAGATTTTTTAAAAAACCATTATTTAAAAACAGACAAATCCAGAATGTGGTGTAGTCTTCAAGACAACTGACTTTGTCTCTACAAAAAGTCAATATGAAGAAAAATTAAAAGGTGGAGGGAATTGTTCTAGTCTGAGAAATGAAAACAACCAAACCCAAACCCCCAAACAATCAAATGCAGTAAGTGACCCCTATTACATCTTAAAAGAAGGTACTATAAAAGATTTTGAGAACAACTGAGAACATCTGAATATAGCCCGGGGAATTAGATAATATTAGTAAATGCTAATTTTCTCAGTACTTGATGATAGCATTTGATTATGAAGGAGAATGTTATTTTTAGAAACACATACTGAAATATTTTGGGATGTGTAATCTGCAATTTAGGAATGGTTAAGCAAAAAAAAAAGTGTTCACAAATATTCATATGAAGACAAGTAAAATATGGCAAAACGTTGAACTGTTGAGTATTGGGTAGCACTACCGAAGTTGGGGGGGGGTATCAATCTGGGGTTTATTGTGTTTGCCGCTGTTACTATGACATCACCAGAAAGCTGGAATTACTGCTGCTCCAAAGCACCAGGTACTCTCGCGATACCGCAGCCTGGTGGGGCGCGAAATGCGGTGGGCGGGGTCGTTAGAAAGACTAACTTCCGGCCAGGCCGTTGTCTGGGCGGCGCGGCGGAGTCATCGCTGGGCTTCGCTGCACCGTTCTTCCATCTCCCCCCCCCCCGCCCCGGCGCGGGGGGTCGACCAGCGGAGGGAGGCGGTTCAGCCCTTTCCCACCTTTTCTTTTCAGCCGGCCAGCGCCCCGGCTACCCGCGCTGGGGCCTGGGGTTCTTGGGGCCCGCGAGGCCCAGTCTTTGGGGCCGGGGCCTGCCTGGGCCCGCCGCCGGGCCCCATGAGGCACAGCCTGACCCAGCTGCTGGCAGCCTCGGGCCGCGAATCCCCGCACCGCAGTGAGAGCCCGGCGCCGGCCGCCCCCTGCTTTCTGCCTCCGGACCTGACCGCCGCAGCGGCGGGGAAGGAGGACGCGGCGGCGGCCGGCTCGCCCGGTCGCGAGCAGCCGCGCGGCGACGAGGGCGAGGCGGAGGCCGGGAGGGGGGAGCGCAGCGGCGTGGCCGTGCGCGCGCCCTCGCCTGAGGAGATGGAGGAAGAGGCGATCGCCGGAGTCCCGGGAGAGGAGACGGAGGACATGGACTTTCTGTCTGGCCTGGAACTGGCCGATCTGCTGGACCCTCGGCAGCCGGACTGGCACTTGGAGCCCGGGCTCAGCTCGCCAGGGCCTCTCTCCTCGTCCGGCGGCGGCTCGGACAGCGGCGGCCTTTGGAGAGGGGACGACGACGACGAGGCCGCGGCGGCTGAGATGCAGCGCTTTTCTGACCTGCTGCAGAGGCTGTTAAACGGTATCGGAGGCTGCAGCGGCGGCAGTGACAGTGGCAGCGGGGAAAAGAGGCGGAGAAAGTCCCCCGGAGGAGGCAGCGGTGGGGGCAGCGGCAACGACAACAATCAGGCGGCGACAAAGAGTCCCCGGAAGGCGGCGGCGGCCGCAGCCCGTCTTAATCGGCTAAAGAAGAAGGAGTATGTGATGGGGCTGGAGAGTCGAGTCCGGGGTCTGGCAGCTGAGAACCAGGAGCTGCGGGCCGAGAATCGGGAGCTGGGCAGGCGCGTCCAGGCATTGCAGGAAGAGAGTCGCTACCTACGGGCAGTCCTAGCCAACGAGACTGGACTGGCTCGCCTGCTGAGCCGGCTGAGCGGCGTGGGACTGCGGCTGACCACTTCGCTCTTCAGAGACTCGCCCGCCGGTGACCACGACTACGCCCTGCCTGTAGGAAAGCAGCAGCAGGACCTGCTGGAAGAGGACGACTCTGCAGGAGGAGTGTGTCTTCATGTGGACAAGGATAAGGTGTCGGTGGAGTTCTGCTCGGCGTGCGCTCGGAAGGCGTCGTCGTCTCTTAAAATGTAGGGTCAAGTAATCTGCTCTTTATCCGCGTTTACCCCTTTCAACTCCCTTACACCATGTAAAACACTTTAGTGGGACATCTTCACTGGACACATTTCAGAGGAGGAAAAAAGTAATATTGAATCTTTAAGTGTTTAGCTAAAAGCATGAATGTGACACTGTAACCAGCTCCTAATGATAACCTGTGACTATTAAATCTCTCTGACAGTTTCTTTTTTAGGTGATTTCCTTCCTGCCAGGCTCCGTTGTAGGGGTTACAGAACAGTCGTTCCCGCCTCACAACCTGGTAAGGATCCATCTCTTCACGTAACGCTCATGCTCTGCTGCTTAGTCTACTTTAATGGGCAACATCTCAATTTGTGTGTGTGTGTGATTTTTTTTTTCTTTTTTGAAAGGTGGGAGGGGAATCTAATTTGGGCCCTGTCCACCCTGGAAACAGACTTGTGCTGGTCAATAATGTATTTAAGATGCTTCTTCTGGTTGAAATAGCTGTTAATGTGTCCCCTTGTTCAGACTTGCGTGTACCTAGCTCTTCTGTACCCAGTGTGGACATGGCCTTGGATGACATCGGTTCCAACTGTACACTGAAACCTGCTTATAGCGATACAGTTTGGAGACAGTGAAACAGGTGAAGTTGAATGGAAGTTCCGAGTTGTACAAGGTGCAAATTGGAATTCCAATTTTAGAGCAACTTTTCAGAGGTTGACATAAGTATTTGAGGCATGCAAAATGTTACAGTTACTTTGCTGGAGATGACAGAAATCTCTTAAATATTCAAGAATGCTTTTTTAGTTTTCAGTAGAAGATACAAAAATACAATCTCTTCAGAATAACATTTTAATATCTCACCATTAGAGAAGTTGCAGATTTACTATCAGACTCCTGTGTTTTAGTTAATTGGAGGAAGAATAAGAATGGCTAATGAAATGTTTCCTTGAGGACCAGCATAGTGATTACCCTATCACTGAATATAAATTGTTGAATACCTTTATTTTTGTTGTATTTTAGGTTAAATTTATGTATGTATGATTAGATACTGAAGGTTGTGAAATGTGAATGAAAACGTGTAAAGTGAGGCTTCACAAAGAATCTTATTACTCTCCGTATTTTAAAAGTATTTTCCCTATTTAAAAATGCTTTTTTGTTTTTTAAGTTGAGTGGTTCTGGCCACTTAATGGAATGACTGATGTTATTTTTCCAAAAATGGACCATATTCTTCCCTTGCAGTACTCTTTATCTGTTGTCCACTTGTATAAATTATGATGTCCTTCATTGTAAGGGGCATTAAGAAATTCTTTGTGAAACATCACTGTTTGATAAAGTATATACGTATTTAGCATCCTTGTTTTTCTTTGTGCTAAAGTGGATACAGCTGTTGGGGCAGAAGAGACGGGACCAGCTGCTGGCCACATTTCCTGCTTTATTTTAAAAGGTAGTATAAGAAATGAGGAAAAAGAGGTAATATCAGGGCTTCTGCTGTCTTTTATTTTCAAAATGTTCGTAATTGAAAAGTATTTTCCAGCAGTCCAAAGATCTAAGTTATCTTACACATAAGATGTTTTATTTTGTTGTTGTTTGGTTATGGAAATGGAATCCTTGTTCTTGCACAACTGTAAATGTTTTGTTGCTAGATAATACGATTTGAGACCTAAATTGGTCTCTGGTTTCCAGTGCATCACAGCATACTTTGTGAAATCATCTACTGCACTTGAGCATGAATGGGCAATAGCCAATCTCACAACCTGGAGTGACGAACTTGCTTTTACCTAAGGGCAGGAGCAAGCCCCTCACAATGCAGCTGCATGGATTTTTAGTGCCTACTGAATTATATATATATACATATAAAAACCAAAAGTAGTTGGAAAAATTATTTGAAATGACTAATTTGTGCTATCTTTATGAAATATGTTAAATGTAGCTTTTTGAAACAGAAGCCTTGAATTGAAATTTAACTAATACTTGAACATTTTTGTATATATTTCTTTGTATATAATTTTGTGCAGTACCAATGACAAAAATATGGTGTCATAATAAAACCGGGTTTGTTGATCTTTCAGTTATGGGCTCAAAGAATTTATTCATCTCTAATATGACATTGGAAAATAATGGTGAAAATAGGAAAAATTACTGTTGTTAATATTGACTATGGGTCTTAAAAAGGTTATGGAAGCAGTAAGTTCATTTTTCTAAAAATTATACCATTCCTGTAGAATATTTTCTTCCTAACACCAGTGCGTTTCCTGCATTATTTAAAGTTTAGGGCTAAGGAGAAACAGTCAAAGCTGTCTGAATTGGGATGTTTTGAAATTCCAAGTATAGATTTTTAGAATGTCATTTTATAAATGGCAATTTGGGGAATAGATGATCTAAGAACTTTTGAAAATGGAAAGATTAGTATGACCTATTTTTAAAGCTGCTTTGTTAGGTTCTTTTTTTTATTAACTGTCTTCTCTCAGCTTCCATTTCATTATTTCTTTTCTAGTTTTGGTGACTTAGTGATTTTGTCATTTTTACATCAACTCATGGTCTTGTTTTTACATGGTAATTGCATGTATGTAGGACCTATCAGGGGCTAATCTGGTCATATTTACGTGTAAGCACATTTTACTGTAAATGTTCGGGTTTCTGAATTTACAACAGATGTTTATTTCAGTATGTAGCAAACAGAATCTTAAAGTGTCCTACTCACTACTTGTTAATTAAAAAAGTTATGATTAATATGAAACTGTTGTCTTACTATTTTTAGAAAAGTGTGCTCTGAATGATTAGTATTTGGATGAAAGATTTCTGGACTGTAAAATAGATTGTTTTGAAATTTTCAGGTTGGATTCTATTTACTGTAATGGTTGAAAACAGTTTAGTATTTGGGGGAACTTTTTCTTTTGGATAACTGTACCTCTGTGGTTAAATGATATAGAACTAAAGATACAGCTTTTTAATACTTGTCTTCCTATGGTAGCAGGAATTCATACATTAATTGAACTAACACAACATATTGACCTACTATTTCTATCATACCAAATTTAACTTGTTTCTGCACTTCCTTGAGCAGGCTTAATTAAAAAGTACACTTTAAAAGAAATATAGTCACACCTCTGATATATCCAACAAAGTGTTCGAAATATTTTAAATATTTGTGCATTTTATAATCACTAAATTAATTTCTCTCTCTTCTCTTTGAACAGCTTAGCAGTATCTGCAAAAACGAATCTTTTCCTACAACCTGTTAACTGACTGGACTGATGGTAACAAAGTAGTTGTGGGAGCCATGCCGGTCAAAAATTTGGCATCTGCTGAAAAATATGAATGCCATTTTTCAAGTTCCCAAATTACTTCTATACTGATTTCACTTTCCAGAAATGGAGATATGAAAAGATTCTCTGGAATGCCTGAAAGACTTAATAGAAGTACATGAAACTAAGTTAATTTTGGAACAAAATTATACTTTTTTTTTTTGTCTTTCATGGGAGTGATATTCAGTTCTTTGCATATCTTTTAAAACGTGACCAATGGAGAAGAGAATTATAGTATTTCATCAAGAAATAATAGATTCTTGACATAATCAAGAGCACATTCTATGGAATTACATTTAGTGGACTAGAGTTACATAAATAGGCCATCAGTGATCACAGAGCATATTATGAGTTTGTATTTATTTCCTGGAACATAAAAGCTAATTTGAAGGACAGACACCTTGCTGAGAATATCAAAGTTAATGTAAAAGTCCTTAACTATAAAGAACAGTCTTTTAAAAGATGCACTGATTTGTCTGTATATCCTTTGCAAAAGTTTATTATGATTAAAATGTGTAAGTAGTTAATTACAATTTAGGTTAACACTAGGATGTGTGGATCCTGAGGTTTTGGCACCTGAGTACTTGACTCTGAGGTTAATGAATGGTATACTAGTTTCTACTGTTTTTTATTAAAGTTTCTCTAGTGTTATGTAAGGGCCTTAGTAGTTTGGATAATGGGAGTGGCTTTTTCATGGAACATGGTAGTTCTATTGGAACGTTTTTTTTCTGGCTTATTACAAGTACAAAAAAACATCAAAACTTTGGATTGTTTTATTTCATTTTTGTTGGATGTTAACATTTTTTCCCCTAGTCTAGACTGAGTTATTTTATTCTGACTCAGTCTGGGAAGTATGGAGATGATAGAAAAGGGATGTAGCAGTTAGGCTTTTATTTCACAATGACTGTACACTTGGTTTTATATGGTAATCAAAATTTATTAAGTCCACTCAGTTTCTTATAATCTGAATATATGCTGCGGCAAAGAGCATCCCCACTTAGGTAGCTGATGCACCTACAGTACAGTCAGTTCCACTGCTGTACTTTTGCTGATCACAAATACCTACTATTTTGATAGAACAGATAATAAGTGATTATCTTTTCAATATTTGGTTATCTACTTGAGCAGTTTGAAGGTACAGATTCTCACTAATTTAGTCAAATTTTTGAGCTAAATTAATCTGTTAGTCTTAAAAGCTGAATAGGTAGTAAGATATTTAAAGGTATTTTTTCCCCCAAATTACCAATACAAATTTTGAGACCCTTCTAAATATTTGTATTTTTACTATTTTTTTTATTGAGTTACTTCCTAAGTCAGAAATCAAAACAGTGAGGTCTTCCATTAGAAACTTTCAAGAGTGGTTTGGCTAGCACACTTTTCATATATTTCAATTTGAATACCTTTTTCTGTAGGCTCAGCATTCTTTCAGCCACTGATGTTATAATACCCTGCAATTTTTGTTGACTTAAAATTACTTGAAAATATTTTGCTCAGTTTTCACAGGAATTAAAAAATCTAGTCACTACTTATGTTTGGAACATTGTGTAATTCTGTACATATAACAATTTGAATTTTATTGGTAGCACAGAATGGGCTTGCAAATTTCTCTTTCATATATTTCCATTGAGGTCAATTTCCTAGACTGCTCTCACTCTTAGTGTACTACAATCTTGTAATTAACAAAATATATCTTAATTATAATAGGAACCTATTTTAAAAAAAACTACAGAGTGAACTGTAAAAGATTTGGTTCATCTATTATGCCAACTGAAATATTAAAAACTATTTTCCTAACTGATTCAGGCAGTATTCTTTAGGTCTTAGCTATAAATGACTGAGTTGTAGTGCAGCAGAGCAGGTTCACATCATGGATCTGCCTTCTGACAAAAAAGTTTTGGTAGATTTGTAATAACAGACTAAAGCTGCTTTATTGCTTAAGTTGCCCATTTCTATTAATTTGAAAAGATGATTTAAACATGTAGCAGAGAATAGATGGTAGAAATCTTTGTAGCTACAGAAATAATGAATGCTTATACCCTTTACAGATGCTAAGGAGTAAATGTTTTGGGACTGTTTAAAACAGCTTAGTTATACTACTGGGTTTTCAGTTCATCTGAGTTGATTGAATTTTAAAAAGTGTAATAAGCCGAACTCTAGAAGTCAAGTAAAATGGACAACTTTGAATCAGAGACTTTACTTTTGGTATCTTAGTGTGTCAAATTATATATATATATAAATATATAAATTTTTAAAATATATTTAACAAAACATATATTTACTTAGTTGTTAAGAGTCACATTTATTATAGAAAACTTCAGAAATCAGAAATCAAGCAAAAAAAACCCTAACTGTAGTCTAGAGGATATCCACAATAAACATTTTGACATAATCTTTCTCTCTGTACATGTGAAAGTTTGGTGGAGAATACATGTCATGTGCCTGTTGAAAAAATAAATTTTTGTTTTCAGAAAAACTGAAAATTTGTTAATTTTACTTGAATATTAAATCTCTGGCAGCACTGCTTTTTTTTCTAAACAGGAAGAAAGCCTATTTCATTTGCAAAGCTGCCTTTTTTAGATTCCCCTTTATATAACATTAAGTAGCATAATACTTAAGATAAATCACTGTATTTGGGAGGACTAGAATATATCATCTAGGTTGGCACTTTAGATTTTGCTTTGTACTCTTCTGTGATCACTGGCTTTCTTAAGTGTTGATCTAGACCACTGCACTAATACTGTAGCTGTGAACCCCCACTACAGTTGCTCAAAACCTATATTGCTAGTGGTTGACATTCAGGGTAGCTACAAAAGTCACAGAAAGTACTGTTGACAGGGACAACACAAGGGTTATGGCTATTATTTTAGTGCTTGATTTGTCAGGTGCTACACTAGGTAACTTAACATATGTAATACCAGCCTTTGGTGAGGTTACTGATGAGGGTACTGGGCACTTAGTACCTAAATGTTAATGCCTAATACCACACTCTGAAAAAAGTCTCAAGGTTACGATTCTTAAGAACTATCCCAAAATATATGGAACCTTCAAAAGAGACTTTGTTTAAATCTTACAAATAGAACATTCCAATGATATTGGGACTGATCCCTTGTGAGGAAGGTTATTAAATACATTCTGAGATTTTATGGATTAATGATCCTACATAGACACTGAACTGAGAAAATGATGCATGTGTAAATTTGCTGTATTGATAAATCTTTTTCCTGTTTGGCTTTGTGAAGTCTTTGCTGAAAACTACTGTATGGTTAGTTTTTCTTTTTGTATTACAGACCAAACTCAATGCCTAAAGTAAAAGAGTGGAACAAGCAAGGTGGAAAAGACAATACTGAGCAAATTTTATAAATTATCCTTTTTTTTTTGGCACAGTGCTAGGGATTGAACCCAGGGCTTCATGCATGGCAGGCAAGCACTTGTACAACCCATCTTTAGTCTTGTTTAAGTGGCTAGTTTTTACTGAGGTTCAGCTTTTTGTTGCCCTAGTTAGCCTTGTACCTCATGTGCTAAATTACAAGTGTATGTTTATTTTTAACATTAGAGACAGGTTATTTTTCACTATTTTATTTTTGCATACATATTTGGTCAAAAATCAGTTTTCTAGGCCCAGTTCGGGTAACTGAAGAGCTGTTATAAGTAGTTTATATTGTCTAGACCCAAGGTATGCTGTAAATACAGTCTGAAGTAAAAAGGGAAATAACATCTTTCTAAAGATAGGCTTGGATATTCTAATCCAGTATGTTAAGATGTTTCCTTTCTCTGGCAGCAGGGCTGATTGATACCTGTAAGAAAACATTGAGATACTTGAGACTGTTGTATCAGGTGACAAACTTAGATATAGTATGTATTAATTCTACAAATCTTACGATAAAACTAGCTAAAGTTTAATGCTACTTCTTCAATGTCTATTAGTTCTAGTTTTCTTTTACCCTTCTCCAGGTTCACTTCTTGAGGTTCATACAGAGCAGTTTACTGGTATAAGAGTTCAACAGAGAATAACCACAATTATTTTCTAGTAGCAGGCTTACAGTTAAGACATTTTCTGATGGAAATTTGCTTTAGTTCAAGTGTTCAAACTCAGAAAACCTGTATATAATACAGCTTTCACACAAGACCTAATATTTGCAGTTTTTGTAGGAAGCATTCAGTATGCAAATTAAAATTATTTGAACTATAAGAGGCCCAGTGTAATAATACGGTTCTAGAACTGTTTTCAATTCTTGAGAAGTAAAATTTGTTTACTTATACTCAAACAAGTAATGTTAGTCTAATGGCTTAGAACAGTGGTGACCATCCTATGGCATGTGTGCTGCAGTGGGCTGTTTGTTGTCATTGAAAGCTCTAAAACGTTTGTCCTCACTGCTTTAGAAGTTGTTCTAAGTTCCAAGTTTTTATGTAGTCACATATATTATTAAAGGTTTTCAGTGATGAAAAAAAAAGAATCTTACCTGGCTGCTAGGGCACCATTCACAGGTATAGCCAAGAAAGCAGGGTACAAACCACCAAAAACTAAACCAGTCAGTCCAGCCCGTGTCATGGTACATGTTTCACAATTCAAATCACCTAGGAAATAAATTAGTTCTGGTAATTTATGCTTGATAGGCGAGCAAACATGATTTAAATACTTATATTTTCAGGGAATAATATAGCTAATGCAATTCTATAAGTCATACTCAAAGGCACAATTAAGGGGTGGGAGTAGAGTTCGGTGGTAAAGTGCACCCGCACCTGACCCCCAGCATCCGAAGAAAGAAACCAAAAAGCTATTGCATGTGTGGGTAACTTAAAATTTCCAAGAAAATTTATAAAACCATTTTAGGAAAAAATTCTCTAGTTCTCATCTTGGGTATAATAATCTTAAGATCTAGACTGCTTCTAGCTTTCTGCTTTTGTTTAGTATCAGCAAACCTGGGGTGATATTTTCCCTGTTTAGTTACTGGGCAACAGATTTCCCTTGTCTATACTGGTGATGGGAATTCAAACAAAATACTCATAATTTAATCAAATTTAGAGCAGCACTTAACAAAATAAAACTTCAGTTCCCATGGTAATATTTTTAAGTCATTAGTCAAAAGGTTTTTTTGTGTGTGAGATCAGGTATATTTGAAATAGCAAAAATGGTGAATTTTTGATAGATCTTACATATGCATGCAGTCCTTTAAGAGATTTCTTATTTCCATAAAAATATTTTTCCCTTTAAGGAACTTCTCTATAACATTAAAAAAAAAAAAAAAGGCAGTAAGCTTTTCAAGAAAATTTATTAAGGTTTCCAAATATTCATTACTCTTGAATGCCGAGGGAAGGATAAATTAGATAAAAATTATTTAGAACTGCTGTGTATGTACCTCTTATTTGTTTGGTAAGACCCTGCTAATAGTAATTAAGTTACCATATAACAGACAAGCTAGCAAAATTCAGTTTTATCCATTATTGCATTTTAGCATAGCTATTAGATATTAAATCTCAAGTGTTAATGTTACCAATAATATATACCAAAGTAAGCTCTTTGGTGAATAGTGAAATAGAATTTACCTGTACTCAGAGGTAAACTTACAAAACTTGTATAAGTGGCATTTGCTGACAAAAATGGGATCACCGCCATTGGTAAGCCAGCAGCTATGCGAGCCTTTGTCACGTGCAAGGTGCGCCGATAAAGACTGTTTGCTATCAGACCACAGAAAGCAGCATTAAGTCCAATATATATTGATCCATGTTCAAGTAGACTCCTGAGGGTGAGAAAAAACTTTTAGTTCCACAGTGTAAACTAATTCTAGCAAACTAATTCTACAGACCTTAACAGTACATTGGGAATAACTAAATACATCTATCACTTATATTCCTATAACATCAAAACTTTAAGTCATGTTTTACATCCAGATTTTTATTCTAACAGGCTTCTGAATTTGGTCAACATTCAAGGATACAGTTATATACTTAGATTTTGCTAATCATGTTTAGTGTAGCAGGGAACAGCTTCTAAAGACTCTTTGAGTTGGATGGCTCTCTTCAGAGCTCCCATAATATCCAATGCTTACCTTTTAGCACAACACATTACAAGGTGGGATTACATTATAACCATTTATTTACATGTCAGGCTTTGCCTCTTGTCTATAAGCAACTTGATAATAGATACAAAGATGTGTTCAACTTAGTTTCAGTAACATCCACCACAGAAAGTGGTGTGGAGTTAATGTGTTTTCACTCTTTCTTGAAGCATTAGTGTCAGGATTTGGAGACTGGGGAAGTACTAACCTTTCAGTGATATTCTATCCTAGGTACTTTACAACAAACACTCATTGATAAAGAACAAATTGGTGTTTTGAGACAGCAGATGGGAGATAAGGATTTTAAGAGTTTATGTAGGAATATGTAACCTAGGCTGTATGTATTCATTAATTCTACTGGGTACTGAAAATACTCCAAACTTTTCACCATCTGGAATGCAGTTCCTCTCTTAAATTTATTACTCATAACTAACCAAACTAAGCCACACAGTACCCTCTTCTAACTTCT